GTTGGAAGCGGCTTTCAAAAAGCTTTCCAACAAGACCTCTTTTGCCAAATTTCACCTAGCGGGTGAAAAGTGATTGGCAAAAGAGTTTTTGCCCTCTACATCTCCTCTCTTGACCCGTGACCATCTCCAAAAGTGTCACGTGGCAGTTTGTTGAGAATTTTTTTGAAGACCCCCTTGGCTAGGGGGCTGCACTACAGTGGAACTGGGTGGCTGATCAAGATCTCAGCCAACCCCAAATAATGTGCAGCAGCAGTTCATCACCACCTTGAAGACCCCTTCTCCCAAGGGGTGTGTGAAGGTCAAGATCTTGTGGATCCTGGTGAAGTTGTATGCTCTTGGTTACCCAAGAGCTGGGTATCACCTCTCTCATCCCTAATCCACTCTCCGACTCCCTTTTCCCTCTCTCCCCTTCATCATCCGATCTTCTTTTTTCTCTCACCACCACTCATCCATCACCTTTTCTCACTCCTCTCTCCACTTTTCTCATTTCTCTCCTCTTCTCCCCACTAATCTCTCATCCCCTTCACTCTTTCTCCATCCACAACCATATTTTTACTCTCTCCTCTCCCAACCTCACTCTCCTTGCTTCTTTTCCCTACTTGTCTCCTCTCCTTCCCCTTAATCTCTCATACCCTTCCTTCTTCACTCATCTCCCACCATCTTTTTCTCTCCTCTCTCTCCACTCACCTTCTTTTACTAATCTCTCACTCTTGTTTTCACCTTTTCCATAGCTTTCTCTCTCATTCTCTCACCCTCCTTTCCTCTTTTCTTCCCCCAACCACAACCACATCATCTCCCTCACCTACCGCTTCAATCTTTTCTCTTTCCCACCTTTTTTTCTCTTTTTTTCATCACTTTTTCATCCCCCCTTACCCACTTCGATTTTTTCTGTTTCTCTTCTTTTCTCTTTCTTTTTGATTAAATTTTTTTTCGTTCCTCCAAAAATTCGAATTATCTTCTTCCCTACTTCTTTTCTCATCTTTCTTATTTATTTTATTTTTTTTTTATTTATTTTAAAAATTTTGAATGCGGCACCCTAAAATCTGATTAGGACTTAGCCATTCTTGCTTTCGGCACACATTTTGACCCCGTGGGAGTAATGAAGTGCTGCCGAAATTTATGAAAAATCCAAAGCTTGGTTAGTTTCTCTTCACTCTCCTCCACCTCCTTATTTGTTTATCTATTTATTTATTTACTTATTTTTCTAAAAATTTTAATTTGCGGCATTGTAAAAATTAGTGTGCTTCTCTTAGTCTCTCTTTTCTCTTTGCACATTTTGACCCCGTTGGGGTAAGAAAATGTTGCCGAAATTTTCAAAAAAATAAATAAGTCCTCTTCCCTCGCTCTTTACATTTTATTTTATTTTATTATTTTTATTTCTTGTTTTATTTTATTTTATCTCGAAATTTTATTGTTTATTCAATTTTTTTTCCCCCTCCCATCCATATTATCTTTTTTCGTGATTAGGTCGCCGCTACCCTCCCCTAACCACCTAAACTCCGGTTAGGGTTTTCTTAGGGTTTTCTAGGGTTTAGGGTTCTCCTAACTCTCGTCACCCTTCCTACTCTCCCACCTCCTCCCGTCGGGCACCTTGGACCTGGACGGCTCCTCCCCCCTCAAGCGGTTCGGCGCCTTCGTCTCACGCGCGACCCGCAAAATCCGAGGCGAGCCGACTCACACATATTCACTCCGCTCGCGCGGTCCCCTTCCTCTTACCGGTGGACCCCTTTCCCCACACACTCCTCTGAGGACTACCTCCATTCCCCTTCCGACCATGGAAGGGAGTTCATCCGAGGAGATCGCCGCGGCGCAGTCCATACCCCAGGTCAGCGCGCCGTCAGCGGCTCATGATCAGGCCGATGCGGACACCATGGACCTTCATGCCGTCCTTATAGCAATTCAGACACAACTTAGTATGCTTGGACCATAACAAGCACAAATCAATGCGCTAACCCTCGACGTCAACCGCCTCAAGGGCTCCCCTCATCGCTCTCCCTACCGCTCTCACACCCCTTCCCCTACCAGCTCCGATTCCGGCTCCCCAGGACTCTTGAGACGGAGTCACCATGGTTCCCCCTCCTCTGCGGGCCAGGACCAACACTCCCCCTTAGCGGTGGCGAGTGCTGCTGCCGCTCAGACCACCCCGTCCGTTGCGGCAGTTCTTCCGGCCACGGTCGCCCCCACCGTCTCTACTACTGCCGTAGGTGCTGCGGTCCAGGTACCGCCTTCTGGCCCAACAGTTTCATCGACCCACACCGGTGTTGCTTCCCAACTTCCCGCACCGGTTGCGGCGATACGGCTCCGCCCTCTTCTTCCTGCCTTCGTCCCCCCGCCCCCACAGCAGGGTACCGCCCAGGCTGGGATTCCTCCTCCCACTGGGAGACCCGCTCCGCCCCCTCCACCTCCGACCCCGTGCACCCAGCGAGTGGCCACTTTACAGGCCACCATTGCCCAGGCTCAGGCGGAGATTCTCGCTCTGTGACAGCCTCACCCATCACAGGCTGCCCACCCTTCTTCCTCTACCACCCCTTCGGCCTGCTCGTCAGCCTCTTCCCTCCTACCTAGCTATTCCGGGACAGCTGCCCGCGGCCGTTGTCTCCTCGTCTGCTGGTCCATCCGCCAGCGGCCATGACCCACAGCCTTCCCCCACCTCTGCCCCTGCAGCGGCCTCGACTTACGCTGCCGCAGTGCACTTGCCTCGATCTCTCTCCCCCCGCCATCAGCACAGTGGACATCCTCTTGTGCGCACCACGAACATTCCCGAGTATGATGGCACATCCCGTGTCTCTCGCTGGTTGTAGATAGCAACGCGCACGCTCTCTATGACGACCACCCGTCAGGAGTTGTGGTGCGATGTGCTCGCAACCAAATTGCGAGGTAGCCCTTCCACTGCGTGGGAGGATCATTATGCCCAGCGCCTCCGCGTGGGTGAGGTCCCCACTCTGGCCGACTTCGCGGCCTTCCTTCAGGACCGTTTCGGCGCTCGTCATGATGCCACCGATGCCTTAGACCGCGTCACCCAGACCAGATGGTCCGGGTCCTCTGTACCGGCCGACCTTGAGCGTCACATCCGGGTGTTTCAGGACGCTCGCCTTGTTTGTRACGAGACGTTCCTACCGGAGGTCACACTCACCGACCGGTTCCTTGTCAGCTTGCCGACTGACTACCGCCTAGAGCTATGGAGGCGATCATTCTCTTCCGCGGAGCAGGCATACGAGGCTGCGCRTCAGTACCAGWGGATGTGCAGTCGCTTCTYCGTCGCCCCATCCTCTTCGCGGCCAGCCGCCACCTCCCAGTCTCGGGGTACCACCCGAGGCCGCTCCTCGTTTGCTGGTCGTTTTCGTCGCCCGGCTCGACCTGGAGCGCCATTCGCTCGGCACTACAGTTCTCTCGAGTATGGAGAGGACGCCTCAGCCGAGCTCGATCCTACCATTGGGGATGCCCCCCAGGACATCGAGCTTCGTGACGTCATCCAGTACCACTTGGATGACGACACTGTCCCAATGGCCGAGCGCCTGCAGATGGCCATGTCTGCCATGGGTCGTGCACGCAGTCGGGTTGCACAGGCTGGCGCCCGCACACCCACAGTTCCTCAGATAGACCTCCCGCAGGGTTTTGTCCCTCCTCGCGGAGCTCTATCCCCCGAGGAGCGTGCCGCCCTCGAGGCCCGACGCGGCTGCCTTCGTTGCCGCCAGGATGAACACACCTCCTCACGGTGTCCATACCACACCGCCCTCAATCGGTACTACGCTGACATTTCTCGTCAGCGCCGATCTCAGTCCCCCACCGGCCCCGCCCGGCCAGCCCCACCCAGCTAGCCACGGTGCAGTGTACCCCTGAGGCCTCGCTCGTAGCCGGCTTCCCGACCACCGAGTCGCGGTTTGCCCCTTTGGCTACCCCACCAGAGGATCCTTTGGACATGACAGACGCAGTTCTCTCTACCCCGTCGTCTATCGAGGTATCGTCTACCTCCCAGCAGACCGCCGCATCTAGCGCTTCTCCCCCGAGACTTCCGACGCGTCGCGCCATTCGCACAACCCGTTGTAGCGCTCAGCTGGCGACTCGCGATGACGGTGTCATCTTTCCTGGACTTGAGCATTCTGCAGGCTCGTCAGGAGCGACTCACGAGACATATCAACGTCCTGCGTCGTCTTCTCGCTCTGCTCTCTGACCCTGATCGCACCCTACGCATCATCCCTATTCGCCTAGGGACATCTACGAGGGTGTACCGCGCTTTATGGGACTCTGGCTCGCAGGGAGATTTCGTTCACCCTCGAGTGGTTGAGGAAGCTCGCCTAGCTACCTCTGGGTCTCGCTCTCCTATCTCCGTTACCCTCSGAGATAACAARACGCAGCGCTTCTTCGATCAGACGGTCCCCGACCTCCACTTCTCCCTCACCATCCAGCCATCGGATAGTACCCAGACGCCTAGGCGCTACCATTCCTCCGCATACTTCGACGTGCTGGAGACTGGGTACGACTTTATCCTTGGCACTCCCTGGTCTCGCCGGTTCCGTGGCACAGAGGCCGAATGGGCGACCGAGACACTAGTTCTCAAAACGAAGTCTGGTCAGACCCATTGCGTCCCGTTCATTGGAACCACGGGCGACACCCCGCCTGACCTACCCTAGGACACTCGTCCCTCAGGGTCCCAGCCCAACCTCGCGTTCACTTCCCCTCGTCAGTTTGCTCACTTCATACGACAGGAGGACGTCACGTTCTACTCAGTGAACGTCATGGATCTTCTTCGCTATGATCCACTTTGTCCCGAGGTTGAGCTCATCTCTTTGGAGCCCAATCCCCCTGACCCTTCCTCCATCTTCGCGGCTCCTATCTCTACGTCCACCCGTCAGCCTGCGGATACCCCCTCCACGTCCCAGGCCCCTGCGTCGTCGACTGTCGAGTCCACACATACGTCTCGTACCAATGCAGACGCTGAGGAACTCACATGGTTCACGGCAGAATTAGAGCCCGCCGTTCGCGACCTGATTCGAGAGTACCGCGACGTCTTCCCCCCCGTATTTCTCATACAGCGGGATTCCCCCGATGCGCGGTGTTGAGCATTCTATCCAGCTCGTGCCTGACTATCGTGTTCACCATCAAGCACCGTACCGACTCTCAATACCAGAGGCGACGGAACTCAAGTGTCAGCTTGAGGAGCTCCTTCGACTCGATTTTATTAAACCCAGTAACTCCCCTTGGGGTGCACCTGTCCTCTTTGCTCGCAAAGCGGACGGAACTCTCCGCCTTTGCATCGACTATCGTGGCCTTAACCGTTACACGGTTAAGAACAGCTATCCCATGCCCCGCGCGGATGAGCTGTTTGACCGTCTGGCAGGCAACCGCTTCTTCACGAAGATCGATCTTCGTAGCGGTTACCACCAGATCCGCGTTACCACAGAGGATCAACCGAAAACCGCCTTCCGATCACGCTTCGGCCACTACGAGTTCACGATGATGCCATTCGGCATTACCAATGCACCCGCCACCTTCCAGACGGCGATGAACGACATCGTCAGGGACATCCTTGAAGAATACGTTCTCGTATACCTGGACGACATCCTGGTCTACAGTCGTACCTTAGAAGACCATCTCAGACACCTCCGCGATGTCCTACAACGCTTACGCAAGCATGACTTATATGCCAAGCTCAGTAAGTGCCGCTTTGCCCAGCGCAAAGTGGACTTCCTAGGACACCATGTGTCTGACCAGGGTCTCCACAAGGACGACGCGAAGATCACTGCTATTGCAGAGTGGCCCGTCTCCACATCTGCCAAGCAGCTTCGCAGTTTCCTAGGCTTCACCAGCTACTATAGTAATTTTATCCAGGGATACGCTAGGTATTCCTACGTCCTTACCTCTACCCTCCTCCGAAAGAACCCGCCGTGGTTTTGGACACCCCTGTGCGAGGACGCCTTTCGCGCCCTCAAGAAAGCGGTAACCTGTGCGCCGGTTCTTCGCCTTCCCGATTTTGATCGTCCCTTTATCGTCACCACCAATGCGTCAGATTTTGCAGTAGGAGCTGTCCTTTCTCAGGTGTTTCCCTCTCCTCCAGATTCACCTTACCCGCATGTTCCTCATTCCCCCCCCCCTCCTGCTGACACTGCTTCTCGATTGACGCCTACCCTCCCACCACTTCCCTCTACTGACAGTCCTCTTGTTACTTACTCCCCGACCATCGAGGAGGATGGGACTGTCGAGGCTCGTGCTGGGGATTGCCCGATCGCTTTCTACTCCCGTCAGCTACTGCCCGCTGAGATAAACTACACTGCCGATGAACGTGAGGTTCTCGCATTAGTTTATGCTACCCGGCATTGACGTCATTATCTGCACGGGGCACCCTTCATGGTGCGCACGGACAACTCAGTTGTCCAGGCTTTCCTCACGAAGCCTAAACTTTCCCCTCGACAGGCACGCGCTGGTGGCGTGACTTATCCGAGTTCAGTTTCACCACTCATCCTATAAAGGGTGAAACGAACCGCGTCGCCGATGCCTTGTCCCGCCATCCTGATCACAATCAGGAACCCATCCATCTTGCTGCCATCTCCATCACCACTGTTGATCAGTCGGTGATCGACGCGTATCACACTCAGTACTGCCCCGATTATCGCGTCATCCACGCGGCACTACGGAGTGGCAAGACCGTTCCTTCCTACTCCCTCGGGGAGAACGGCCTCGTGTACTATGGCAGATCTGGTCAGCTAGAACCACGTATCTGCGTTCCCTCCATCGGATAGCTCCGCGTCCAAGCTGTAGCAGAGTTCCATGACCAGGCAGCTGCCGGTTATATGGGTTTCCACAAGAAGTTGGCTCGTGTTTGCCGCCTATACGTCTGGCCGAAGTCCAAGGACTTTGTCAAAGCCTACATCCAGGAGTGTCCTACCTGCCAGGAGGTGAACAGTGCGAACCACCTTCCGTATGGGTTACTTCAACCCCTACCCATACCTGAAGGTCGTTGGCAGTCCATCTCGATGGATTTCATTGGTCCCCTCCGCCCACCCACTGAGCGCGGTCATGATGCTATCTTGGTCGTCGTCGATCGCTTCACGAAGCGTGCACGTTTTGTCCCGTGCCGCTATCGCATTAGCGCTCGTGAGGTCGCCGACATCGTCTTCGACCGAGTCGTGAGAGATCACGACTTACCTCAGAGCATCATCTCCGACTGTGATCCGCGCTTTACCAGCACATTCTGGCGACGCCTACACGAGGTGTACGGATCCCAGCTCCGCTTCTCATCGTCTTACCACCCTCAGACAGATGGTCAGACTGAGGTCACCAACAAAACTCTCGGTAATATCCTCCGAAAGTTTGTTAGGGATGACCAGCAGTGGGACTTACACTTAGCCCACGCGGAGATTGCGTACAACCACGTTGTTTCGCCAGCCACAGGGATGTCGCCATTCTATTGCGACCTCGACTACCACCCTCGCATACCCGCGGATTTCCTACGACCATGGCGGTTGCGCCCAGACACTCGTTGCCCTGCGCTTGACGACCACATGGCGGCGATTATGAAGCGCGCACACGAGAGTTTAGCCGACTCCCAGACTCGCATGGCCGCATGAGCAAACCGATCACGAATGGATCATCCATTCAAAGTCGGTAACGATGTGCTCGTCGACGCACGCCACGTACAACTTGAAGCAGATACGCTTCGCAAGTTCAAGCGTCGTTTCTTCGGTCCATGCCGCATCCTTCAGGCCGTCGGTTCTGATACTGCCGCTAGTCCGGTCAGCTTCCGTCTGAAGCTACCTGATTACCTTCGACAGACTTGCGTACACGATGTTTACCACATCTCCTTGCTGCGTCCTTATCGAGACCGTCTGAGCGCTTCGTCGGACGCCCTTATAAGCGCCCTCCACCTATCATGGTGGACGGTCACGAGGAGTTCGTTGTTTCCGACATCGTATCACGTTGAGTTACCGACGATACCCCTCCACGCATCGAGTAACTTGTGCGTTGGAAGGGCTACCCTGATGAGGAGGCTACTTGGGAGCCCCTCGAGCACTTGCAGCACGCCAGGATGTTGGTGCGTGCATATGATCGTGTTCGTCGTGGTGAGACATTTGCTTCTACTCAGCCGACTGACCCTCTTCCTCCTCCTCCGACTGAGGAGATTGCTGAGGACGCGCCCGCTCCCTCTGAGGCCGTTCCTCAACCTCAGACAGTCGCCTCCGAGCGTCCGCAGCGCACTCATCGTCGCCCTTCACGTCACGATGACTGACACTCTTATCCTCTATCTTTCCCCACTTACTCACACCATCAGGTACTCCATCATCATCTCTTCTTCAGGATGTCAGCGTTTTGTGGCTCTGCTTCGACATCGACTTCACTGCTACTTCATCGACCACTTCGACGACTTCATCTACTTTGGACGTGACTACTTCACGTCACCACCCTACCCTGCATACTCCCTTGCCTCTGTCGCATGATGGTTCTCACTTAGCTGGGTCTCTTTGAGTTTGGCTCTCTCTTGGTATCGCATAGGCATTGGGACCGTAGCGTTATCTTGGCTTCCCTGCTCCCAGATCTAGCTCCCTCTCCCAGTCGGTGAGTTGTGTGCATGTTTCCCTCACCCACTGCCCTCATCACCCTAGCACCGGCTATTGCATGCCTTCAGTTCGGCATAGCTCCACCCTATTCCAGACTCCCCTTTTCATGGTCGACCCTGCATGGTGTCACCCTTTTGTCGAGCATTACCCGCCTTGATGGTCTATCTGTTAGGGTCATTGGTTTTGTTTCGCTACCACTCTCCCACCTTGAGCCTGATGACCTATCCCACCTTCATGTGTGACTGCCCTTAGGAGTTTCGATTCTTAGGCTGCATTCACCCTCTCTGAGACCATCCCACTCTTAGTGGTTCAGCGACATGACATTATCTTGTGACATATTGGTCTTTTCCATTCAGCACTGAGGCCATTGCCTCTTGGACTTTAGGATTGTATCATACTACATTTCATTTTCTGTTGTTAGCTAGGATATGTATACCAGACATTTGCTTTTCTTTTGACATTATGTAGCTTAGGATGCATCGCATGGACTCCACATCCTAGATTTCTCAGCTTTCGTTGTTGCAGAGTTCCGCTGCTTTTGCGGATGGCATGTTTATGGCTCTTGCGATCCATTACAGGTCTGAGGATCGTGCAACGGGCCTTCATCTGCCCTGGCCCACAGCCAGGGCCTATTTGGCTATTTGCCAGTTCGGCCTGTGGGACCAGACCGTGTGGTTATTCAGTCCAGTCCAGTCCTGCCCGGTACCACTGTCGGTACCAGGCCAGTCCAATCCAGTCCAGTCAGTCCGCTGTGGGTATACCCCAGCTGCAGTTTGTTTTGTGACTCATTTCTTCATTTGCACAGATTGGAGTACGTGCGTGTTGAGTCTGCGTTGGAGCTGCGCTGTCCCTTCCAGCTCCATCTCCATCTCCCGCATCCTCATCCCTTCGTCTTGATCCTAACGGACCGCCATCCCCACGGGTCCGTCACACCTCTCCACTCCGATTATCGTGGATCCTTGACCTCCAAGGGACCTCGGGAGGTCCCTTGGGGAATGCCACCACATGGCTGTAGCCCGAGGACGCCCCGAGGATTCCCCAAGGAAATGTTTTCACTTTTTTTTTCGTTCTCATCCCCGAGGATAGGTGGAACAGAATTATCCTCGGGGGATTTACGCGCCCGAGGAGTGTCTAACGAGCCTCAATGCTGGAAATAGAAGTAGTCAGCATCATACGTGTATATGGGTCAAATGAGGTGGGCGAGAGAAGGGCCTTTTTTGAGAATTCAAAAGCACAAATACATGAAGGAATACCCGTAATAATAGCCGGAGATTTTAATGCAGCACTAAAAAGATAGTTGGACCGGTGGCGCCTCCCCTGCCCCTGCCCAAGATACGTGGAAGAAGATGAGAATATTACTGCGGATCTCACAACATCCTTGAATGTCTATGACATGTTCCGTAGGTCTTTCCCAACCAAACAGATGTACACTTGCCTCTGCAACAGTCGTTCGAACAGGCAATTCCGCTCAAGGATCGACCTTATTTCAATCTCTGAAAAAATGGAGAGCGCCTTACAGCTAGCAGGGATCTTCCCACCAAGCCCACACTTGGGTCTCGACCACACCATATGCATGGCCAGACTGGCCTTTCGAAAAAAACATGACCAGGGGCCTGGTTTTTACAAATTGAACACCTCTCTACTGGCAATGAGACCCTTCCTCACCTATCTAAAAGACGACTGGGCCTGCTGACATGAGCAGAAGGAAGTGGTTGAAGATACAGTAACCTGGTTTAATAACGACTTAGCCTTTTTGGCAAGAAAACTTAATGACTTTTCGATACTGCTAGCAGCCAAAAGACACTGGCATGCACATGAAATTGAACTACAACGAAACCTACAATCCTTGTATCAACAAGGACCTTCCCAGGACCCTGCAGACGTAACCAAGATCTTATAAATTGAAAAACAATTGCAAAACTTTGCTGAGAAAGGGTGGCAAGGCATAAGAATCAGAGGGAAACTCCATGCACAGAGAACGAGGAATGGACACTGAATTATTTGCAAAAGTCAAGAAGGACAACCATAAAGGCATTAGTGGATGAATCTCAGCCACACACCCTTTTGGCCACAACCACCCCGCCCTGTACTAAGATAGCAAGGTCCTTCTACCAGGACCTATTTACCTCATGATGCAACAATCGCCTCCGAGAAGCAAGGGAGAGGGAGGTGGAGGACTTCTTTTTTTTTTTTCTTCATAAGTTGAATGATTTTTTTTTATATATTTTTTTAAATCGGGCCCAATGCCCAAGGCTGATATTTCCAATAAGAAGATTGAGGCCGGGGTGGTCTCCCTGAGGAGCAAACTCGAGGATTGGCAGCGGGATGTCATGGAGGCGACACTTACCAAACAGGAGATATGGATGACGCTGATGCAGATGGAGGAGGGTAAGACCCCAGGTATAGACGGCCTGCCCAAAGAACTGTGGGAAAAATGCTGGGCAGACCTTTCGGCAAATCTGATGAGTTATTACGAGGCGGCGTGGGAGTTAGGGAGGATGGGGGAATTCATGGACGAGGGGGTTCTCACTCTCCTCTATAAGAAGGGGAAACAAACAAATATAAGGAACTACAAACTGATTGCATTGCTTATAGTAGTATACAAATTGCTAGCAAAAGCCTTGGTGAATCGGTTGATAGTCCTCATGGAGAAATAATACATCCCACTCAGACCGGATTCATTAAGAGCAGGCATATACAGGACAATATCTTACTAGTAAATGAGGTGCTTAAGCTTTTGCGACAATCCAAAAGAAATGCAGCCTTCGTGTTCATAGACTTTGAGAAAGCCTACAACCACATTGACTGGTTCTTTATGGACAAGTCCATGAGAAAATTGAACTTTGGGCCAAACATGCGCAAATGGGTCACCATTCTTCACCAAAACACAACCACCCGGGTTTAAGTTAATGGCAATCTGCACCCCCCATCCACTTGCAGCGTTTTGTCCGGCAAGGGGACCCGATTGCCCCCTTCTTGTTTGTTATTGTCATGGGGGCACTTGCGGCAAACCTTCGAGCACATAAGGACCTTAAAAGAATATCGGTAGCAGCGATCCCCGAGGACGCAATTCCGATCAGATTCTGCTCCCTCTTCGCAGATGACCTGACAATAATGATGGCTGCAAAGCAGGAAAACATGACAGCGATCAAAACACCGATGGGTCGTTTTGCTGAAGTCTCAGATATGGAGGTTAATTGGGGAAGCAAAACATTAGGTTGGTGGATACATTACCAAGGAGGGAGACCCCAGGAATCCCCTACGGTCAAGTGGCTCCTAGCTCAGACTCCTATCTGAGTGTTGGGGGTGTGAATGGCCGCCACGGGGAGCCCAAGCAACAACGATGAGTGGATCATGACACTGGTGTTACAAAAGTTGTCCTTTTGTGAAGACAAGCAGACCTCTCTTCTAGGCCACACGGTGATCATCAATAACGTGATCCTTGCTTCGCTTTGGTACAAATCAGCGATATGGCCCCTAAGTAGGTCAGCCTTGTGGTCTATCCAGAAACAGGTAGCAGGGTGCCTACGGAGAGGCAACCATGAGCCTAAGCATGACATTAGCCGAGTGGCATGGCTCTCGGCAGTTCAACCCAAAACCAAAGGAGGGCTAGGTATTATCGACCCCGCCACCCAGCTCACCGCCCTCTTGCTGCAGTGGATGGTGAGGCTGATTCTCGATCCTCAGATTCCAAGAAGGGCATTGGCGCTGGAGCAGATAGCCAGGTTGGCCCCGCAGGCCCCAACAAGTGTGAACCCCCTCACGTGCGTGGAGGATAGGGGCTGGCCCATCCCAAAGAAGCGGACAAAAAAGGGGCTGGAGGATAAAAGGGAAGCAAGGCTAGACCTACAAAACGACCCATTTTGGGCCACGCTTCTTAAGAATTGGCGCAGACTGCCCCTACCAAACAGGCCGCCCCCCGGTCGCTAGGAGGAGGTGGTGAGGCAGCCACGCTTCGGGAACAAAAGTATTACAGATAGACACAGTAGGGTGTATGGTAGCTCAGACAATCCGTGGAAGGGGTGGGTGAAACATGGTGTTTTGCACGTGAAGGACATGTGGGACTAGGTGACAAAAGACTGGCTCACCCTGG